GCCAGTCCACTCCCAAAAAATCCACTGAGAAGCAGAGGTTCAAAGCAAAAAAAGTATATATTATAATATAATAATGACAAAAACTTTTTGTTCCTGATTTCTCATCACAATGAATCTCTAACTTTTTTGAAACTTTAGAAGAGCTTTAAGAGTGGCCATGCTTTTTCATGCTAATTTTATGCACATGGGTGTAAACCAATAAGACTATTTCATAAACAACATTACCTCTTACACAACATGTAAGTGTAAACTAATCTTAAATACATAAATGCAATGTTTGGATCTTACCTTTTAAAATAATGGGAATGAGGATGTGTGCTGCCAAGCTTGGTTTTCAAGAAGTGGAAGTCTTTTTCACTCCAAACCTACAACAAAGATCAGGATTAGAAGAAGCAAACTGCAATCTCAAACTTATTTTTTTGCTTAATCTGAGTTTATTTCTACTGAATAACATGACTATACCACTTCCTTCAATACAGATGAACGTCATCAGCACTATTCTAACCAATAAACATGCATCATAGCAGAGGGGTTATCATGTACCAAAAAAATGCCTCAGAATGAAATACTAATAACTCAATACCTGCAATTGGAAATCTGAATGAATCAGTATGGAAAGCAGGGAATTAATAACATTATAATCCTCTTAAGTGATCTCCTGGAACACTTTGGCAGGCTCCTAGTCTAACAAACAATACATTATGTATTATTGAGTATATACAGCTTGTGACCTGCATAAAGTATTAAAAGTCTGAACAGCATATGGAAAACTTGATTAACCTAACCATGTCAGAAGCAAAGTCCTTTTAGTATTACACAGTGTCAATAACACTTTGCTGTTGTGTAAAGACAGATGGGTGATGTTCCACAGCCTTTAATGAGTATAACTGAGCTACAGTGTGGAGCCATAAAGCAATAAAAACCCACCACCTTTCCAGCTATTGAGATACAGACACGAACAAAGACAGGACACACAGCCTTGAATAGACTATCCTTGAAAGCATTTTTTTACATTGTTGTAAAGAGCAGCATTATTGTTGGCACGGTATAAATATTAAAACAAAACAAAACAAAACTTTATGCTATTGTGCACCCAAGCTGGGCTTTGGCTATCCTAAATTTCTGTTTCTCTTAACTTTATATTGTATTGAGTGCACACCAGGATATTTAGGGTGTCAGGAGAAGTTAAACAGAGTGGCCTATTGATGTTATTACATGAAAGTGCAATAATACAAGAACACATTATAGTAACTGAAACATTTTTAATTTTATGTTGGTCAAAGCAACATTTCAAATGACATTTCAGCATTGGCTATGTTTGCACAAAAAAGTTGCTATCAACTAAATTAATCAAATCAATTAATTCCGATTACTGACTTACAATGAACTTTTTATAAGCAGGCAAATCTAAGCTCAGGAATTTATCTGCACATTATGTGTAATGCAAACACGGTGTTATTGTTAGCATAACGCTTAAGCTTGTGAGTCATGTTATAGGTCAACTAGGAAGGTTCGTTAAGAATGATTGCCAAGTTTAAGTTTAATCATCTTTCTTGTGTTTTTAATTATATCAGTACCGGTGAAACGTTCCGAACACAGACTGGGAAGAAAAAAAATGTTCATCCAAGTATCCCTGCAGTATCCCCACTATTATTTTAAATCTTTGTAATTTGGTAACATGCCCTTACTGAATCAATTTTTAAACCTGGCCATGTTGGTCAGCGTACTAGTCTGATTGTCAAAGCAATTTGAATATTAAACCAACAGAAATTTCATGTGAATTGAACAACAATCTTGGGTACAGGTAAACATAGTTAATGTGGACGAGGTGTTTTGGAAAGGTAACTTACCAAGCTACCTGCTGCTCAGACATTCAGTACATGCAACACTACTGGAAAAGGCTCCAGTTAAAAACCAGTCATGGGTCATTCATATAAAATTGTGCTGATATGAAGATCATTGTTCATTTGTATTCACCGACGATGGGCTTTGTTCGTAAATTGCTCAAAGGAGCATTTACACAATTAATCTGGTATTCAAGAAAATCCTGTAATTTCAGAAAAAACATTCATGTCTTACTTGTGCTCCTGAGTGTCTGTAAATTTTTACTTAAGACTAACTAACATAATCATTGACTTGATCAACTTCAAATCTCATAATTTGCATGGATTATTGCACTTTTAATTATGGCTTATACTGTAAAGGTTAAAGTACTTGGTTTTATTACGTGTACAACATTTATCAGATGCCCTTATCCAGAGTGACTTACAGAAGTGCTTTGTACTCTCTATCAAATTACACATCCTCATACTATTTCACTTGGTCAGGTACTAAGAGTACCATCTCATTTTATATTATTGGCATTAACTAAAGGATACAAAAAAAAAAGCGAGCCAACACAAACACATAAATTAAGACAAGTAAAACTAGTTATTCAATTATGACAAAAGAAATGCCACCGGATAAATGGAGGGCATACTGGTGTGTCTGCACATAGCTTTCAACACCAAACACCAATGACTCAGCTTATGAGGAAAAGGATGTCAGGAACGTGATTTGTACTTTATGGGTTATCAACATATGCACGTGAGCATGAAGAAAATCAGCCTTTCCAAAACTTTTGTAAATCTGGCGGAAAATTTTTGTTTGTTTTGGCTTACGCAAACATTTACACACAGCTTTCCTAAAAAAATTTATAAATGAAGCCCACTGTGAGTGCTGATAGCAGCAGCACTGACAAGAGGCATAAACATTCAGATGCCTCAATGATGGATGATTATTCACCTTTCTGTAATGAAATACTGCAGAATAAAAGCACTTTCATGGCCAAATAGTGAAAAAAGTAGACTGATTTTGGATGGTCGAGTAAATTACAAACTCTTTTTTCACAATACTAAACAACACAAGAATCTACCACCAATGAAAATGTCATCCCTGACCTCTGTTCTACTCTACAGTGCTGATAAATGTTTTAAGATGTTTGCCAGGTTTAGAGGTGAGAGCAGGACTTAGAGGTGCTGGCTCTAGACATATGTGCATTTCTTAATTATCCCAATCTCACATGCTGTTTTTTTTTTTACCCAATTTTCTCCCAGTTTAGTCATTTTGCCAATTCCCACCCCTAGCTAGCACTATCCTATCAGAGGACAGCTACAAACAAGGAAGAGTAAAAGTTAGCACATTCTTCCCCCAAGACACATGAAGCCAGCCACCGCATCTTTTCGGACTGCTGCTCATGCTACATCACAGGGCAGCTGAACACATTCTGAGGAAAGTGATATCTACCCTCTTACATATTCATAACCTCACAGAGACCCACAATTGGTTAGTGTTGCAGTGATTGACAGGGAAGAGAGTAATGCAATCCCTCCGACCCAGAGAGCATGGTCAATTTTGCTCTCTTGAAGTCCTGGCCATGGATGGCTATGGCATCATCCGAATTCAATCTCGCGATCTCCAATGATAGGGTGAATATCGGGTTCTCCAGGATCCCAGTCTCTAGCTAGTTTGTCATTTGCTGTATTGAATTCTGTCACTTGGAAATAGCATCATAAAAAGTACAATTGTAATATGTTTCATAATGGTTTCCATAACAAGAACACCTTTTTTTGTCTTGCAATCTTCGTTTCTTTGTTCCCGTTCACTTACAAGTAAAATGTTCTGGGTAGTCCTGATGCACACTTCTGCTTCTGATTTTTCTCAAGAAGCCTGCATGCTCAGACTCATTAAAATACCCAGTGTACATTTGAGTGGGTCCAATATACATTTTCTTTTTTTAATTAAGTGACTAAAGTGTGTGTGTGTGTGTGTGTGTGTGTGTGTGTGTTTATCTCACCTCCTGCAGTAATGCTACATCATGCTGCTCCTTGCTTAGCAGATCTCCAATCATGGCATATCGCTGAGCACAGTGCTTACTAAGGTAGCGTATTCCCCTAAAACCACAACCACACACACATACTGACTCTCATAACATTAAACCACATTGCTGACGATACACATTTACCATGTATGCATGACAAGCCAATGTTAAACTAGACCAAACTGGACAAGATAAAATTTTATAGTACATTGTGCTGTATCAAATGTCCATACCTCTCCTTTCTAGCATAGTACTGTGATAAACTTGATAGTGGCTTTGTCTAAATTATTCAGTGGTTACCCTAGAAGTAGTTAGATTTAGAAGACAAAAGGTAGGGCTGATTAAATTCCCTTCAGTCATTTTTTTTTGTCCTTAAGCAGCTTAGCTGAGGTTACTTTTAGATTTTTCTGTTCACCATAGAAAGCCGCAATGTAAGGTATATTTGTATGTGTGCTCACCAGCAGTTGAGGGAGAAGATACGTAGTCTTACAGGCATGCTGGCTGTCACAGGATTGAGAGAGAAGTGTGATCCCCTCTGCAGTAGGACCTACTTCAGCAGAAAAAGGAAAAGGTCAGCAAGAAAAAGATGGTGCTTAGTCACATCACATTACCATGAACCTGAAAGCTTGCAGATGTGTTTATGAGCTATGTAAAGAGAAGAAACAGTATGAACAATAAGGTACAAGAGTGTGCTTCTCAAACTTTAAGCTACGAATTGCCAATGCCATATCATGGCAGAAAGATGACATTTTCTCCAGGAAACAGGACAGTCAGTTGTACATTAAAACAAATCATTAATCTGTGCTTTACTATTATTATTATGATTATTAATTTATTTTTGTAGGTATTAGACACTATGTGCATATTTTTAACATCAGTAATAGCATCCATCCATCCATCCATTCTCTGTACCACTTATCCTACACAGAGTCGAAGGGGAGCCTGGAGCCAGGGGACACCAAACCATCGCAGGGCACAATCGAACACACACTCACATCCATTCACACACTACAGACAATTTGGAAATGCCAATCAGCCTACAACGCACGTCTTTGGACTAGGGGAGGAAACTGGGGTGCCTGGAGGAGGCCCCCAGGGTGGGGTTTCATGGGGAGAGCATGCAAGCCCCCCCACAAGGAGGGGGCGGAGGCGGGATTCAAACCCGCAACCCCAGAGGTGCGAGGCAACAGTGCTATCCACTAAGCCACCCTGCACCCTCACTAAGCCACCCTGCACCCTCCCCCCTCCACCTCGCCCCGCCCCCCAACACTAAATAAAGAATATATACACGAGCCAACTTAATAAGCAGTTTCAAGGTACATGTGACATGTTCAGGAGGGTTGTTTACGGAAACGCGTAACTATTTCTTGTTCCAACAGGAAACTCTGTTATCGCTTTGTAAAACTGGGTGAAAACATTAACTTTTACTAATGCATAATAAGTCCATTTATCCCAAAACGTCAGTAAATGCTTTAGTGTCAGTAAATATGTATATATATATGTACATACATATATATATATATATATATATATATATATATATATATATA